GACTAACAACAAAAAAAGTAGAACTGATCGCGCTATACGCAACCTAACAACTTCAGGGAAACGTTACGTCAACTACAAAGGTATCTTAGCCCGACATAAGCCACCGCGGCATTGTACATGCGTCGCTCCACGTGTTTTATTACATTTAAGTGTAAGTGTGACGAACCCCATAATCACGAGGACCAGCTGTTCAGTGGTGGAAACCGGCAACCTAAGCTGCGGGACTAGGAGTGCCGAACTACTTAAGGCCCCCATAGGTTAGGCGTGGTATTGAACCGGACGACATCAGAGTTGCCTACCAACAAAGTCGGGTGGTGGTGGCAAGGCTTGAACCTCGGATCACAGGGTCCAAAGCACGCCGGTGACAGCGACTAAAACCACTGAGCCACCACCACCCACGTGACGGAGGCAATGAACTATAAACAAACCCCGATCATAGAGCTTATCAACAGAAATAACTAACACCCAGTCCGGTAGCATAATTTTGCACTTTGAGGGTACAATGCACAAATCGGTAAATTGCACTTCTACTGCTATCAAGGGGCGGGGGGGCATAGAACACCAATCACGGAGCTTCAGCCTCAACAGTAACGGTTTTCTGATTAACGCCAGACCAACTGCATCATACTTCTAAATACTCCATGAAGCAATCAAACTGCCGCTCCTTGTTTTCAATGGACAGTCCAAATTTCTTGTACATTACTTAAGTAAACGGGGCCGCCGACCCAACAATTCTGATTGCTTTGATATCAAGTTGGGTGCCACGGGCATCCTGGATTGGTAACACGCCATCCAAAAGGCGTACGAACCAATCAATTTATCCTCGACTCTTCGTATTCAAACTTTCTATCGTCCGACAGGCAGCATTCAGTGGTGCACAGGTTGCTGGTACCGCCAAGAACAAAGGCGGAGTGATACTAGGGACAGTTTCTATACACGCAAGGGTTTTAGTAAGGCCCGAGAGAATGACGAAAACTGAGTTTCCTCTAAGCGAAAGTTCTGGTTATCATTTATTATTCAACCAGAATGTCTAAAGAGCTGTGTATGCAAAGCTGAAGTGTACTGTACTGATGAAGAAGTTTCAGTTTCTCCTCTCGTCCTTCGAAGTAGACTCACTTCGCTCCTATGAAAGCCTTTGCATGATTCGAGGTTGGACGCTTTGCGTTCTGAATGATCACCATTTACCTAAATTTCGCTAAATGCTTCGGTTCGACCAGGAGTTTCATACAGCTCCTACTTGAAAGCTCAACTCCCAGTCTCCCTGTGGAGGAACCACATCTTCCTGGTACTGGTAGTGGTCACCAGCTGGCTTGGACACCCTGAACGTTTAAGCCCATCGTAAAAGAGCGCGTGATTCGATTAACTTCACAATGGGTACCAACGAAATGCCGTTTCCACACATCACTCAATTGTCCTGAGCATTAGGCATTGACTAGCTGAAGTCTCTGATTATGAATCCCCCTCTCCTTTGGTCCGGAAAAAGCAACAGTATTCCGCCAGCGAATAAAGAATAGATTAATTTCTTAAAAGATTACTGAACCGTCATCATCATCATCATCAACGTACAGCGAAATACAATGAGGTGAGCTTCACTGATCGCCACCAAACGGGCAATGTATACAAGATTAATGGTAAAATATAAGGTGGACAGGGATTGGACCCACTATGATGGAGGGAGAAGGTGAACCACGATGGTCAACACACAGAGTAAGCAATCGAACTCTGCATGCATACCGCTTCAAACATTCTGACCTGATAAGAAACGAAAATAAGAATGCCACCGCTGTCAGTTCGCTGCCATATCCTTCAATGTCTCCAACCAACCAGTTGTGGAGTCTTTCGAACCCCAACCTGGAAGGCGAGAGACACTTACTCTATCTAATGGCTCTGTGCATTTTATCATGCCTCGTCTCCACGTCATCTGTTGACCTCCACGTGGTTTCCTCCAGGCCGGGGCGGTTACGGCGAATAAAGCGTGGTGCGGCAGACGACAGCTGAACATACGCAATATGTGTTCTAACCAGCGAAGTCTACTGATCTGAATTCGGTGTGCTAACAGGTTTATACCCGATAGACTCCGAAACACACGACGACTTACCTCTACGTTACAAACTGTTCGCTCCATCCCACGTGAGCCAAACTGCGTTAACACCGATAATCGAAAACTTCCAGTCGACGGATATCTTCTACTCGCATATTCAGGGTTTCACAACCATAAAGCAGAACGAACGCCAGCGCAATATACACGATCCTTCAACTTCAGTGAAACATCGCGTCTACGCCAAAGGTGTTTCAGTCCTGCATATGCTGCTCGAGTCATGGAAGTGAGGGCGATTATCTCCTTTGTTGCTCTACCGTCATTGGTCAAGCAAATAACTCAGTAGGAAAAGCAATCAACCGTAACTAATTCCTGACCATTCAGTTTCAGAGCGGGAGTAGACCAAACCCAGTCCTGCAGCATCACTTTGCACTTTGAAGGTGCAAAGCACCTACCGGATTTGGCAACTGCACTTGTTATTCTATCAAGTATGTTTTGCGCGTCCTCCATACAATCGAACAGACAGACGATGTTATCGGCGTATTCTACATCGCACAGCTTTTTTCCACCTACCCATTCAATACCTACGCTTTGAAGAACACTTGGTGCGTTCTCCAGTACTTCGTCGTTCGGGACGGAGTCTCAAACTCGGACCTCAGAAATCGATGCCACGTTGCCCGTCTCTCAACGCACACACAAAGCCATCGACTGCATTGGCTGGACCATGTTCTCCACAGACCCAACAACACGTTTACGAGTATTGTCTTGGCTCCAACATCATCTCCTGGATGGCGCCACCGACAAAGGGGGCAAGTAAAAACC